ATAACATTAATCCAAATGTTACAGGGGCGGTTATGCCCCCACTTCCCCTATTTGTTTAAAAAGCTATGGTTATTGACATGGTATTTAGAAGAATCAACTTCTTTTAATTTACCAGAAAACACTTAATCATTAGTTATAAATTCAAATCATTTACTAAAAGTAGCCCACCACCATAAACACTTAAAAATAAGTTTATCATTAATTTAAAATTTTAGCGGTTTTCTGCGTTAAGATCTCACGGTCTTAACGCAGCAGTTGCAGAAAACTACTAAACTTGCAAAACTTTTGAGTTTTTGTATTCTATACTTTTATTGATAGGGTGGGGCGCCATGACACACTTTTGGTTTTTGCTTCGTAACAATATTTTTATTACGTCTTTTTTTTAGGCGATTAGTTTAATTCCTAGAATAGATTTATACTTACAAAATTAAATTTATAAATTACCAAAATATAACAGGGTAAACTTGTAAGACTATTTAAAGTAAAATTAGAAATTTGTTTTAAGGTACCCCACCCATGGGTTACACACTATGACCATCATTAAAAAATAAATAGAAAATATAAAACATAGAGAAAAGGCAGAATTTTATTTGAAAGATAAACAAATTTATAATCATAACCCAAATAATGCATCCAACAATCCAAATCAAATTTCAGAAGACCAGATAATATATCGTTTTAAATGCCATTTATAAGCGTCAATAAATAGTGGCTTTGTAAAGAAATAGAATCTCCTTGTATTATATTTACATAAATCTTTTAAAAATTGGCTGCAAAAACTAAAAGAAATGATTTTTAGAATTGCTTATGACACAATATACTACTCTACAGTTTTAGGGCTCCCCAAAAAATTACCCCATACTTGCTAATAGAAAATAATCCCTTTATTTTTAGTATCAATTTTTTTTTAATGATTTTGTTTAATGAAGTAAAGAGCTTACGGATTATTGTTTTACAAAATAATTTTACTTACCGATAGACACATTGTCTAACATACCTTTAACTTATTGAAAACTAATAAATTACATTGCAATCAAAAAAACACAAATTTCGACCTCTCGCAAGATAATGATGACAAATGATAAACGTTTTTTTTTCAAAACATAGCCCTAGTATTAATTGTTTCACTGTATGAGAGTGGTTGTCACAGTTCTTATGATGCCTTCAACACTACATGGTGCCCCATTTATCATAGTGCCCCACTCTCCCCTATATTAACTTTTTTCTTTTCTTTTATATATTGTATGAATATAAATAATAAATGGAAAATAAAGAACAAAAAACTATTTAAAAAAAAACATCTAATAATGATTATATTAATCTTATATATAATTAATAATAATAATAATAATAATAATAATAATAACAGTAATAGCAATATTATATATATATATATATATATATATATATATATATATATATATATATATATATATATATATATATATATATATATATATATATATATATATATATATATATATATATATATATATATATATATAGTATATATATATATATATATATATATATATATATATATATATATATATATGTATATATATATATATATATACATATATATATATATATATATATATATATATATATATATATATATATATATATATATATATATATATATATATATATATATATATATATATATATATATATATATATATATATACAGGGCCTTCGAGAGCGTCATTGGCACCAAGAGCGACGCCCTTAATTCAAACTAATTAAAGAAACTAAAATTTTAAAAGTTTTGTGAACGCAGCAGTTTTTTGTTTCTAATACAGCACTATGTACTTTTGCGTTACAATTAATTCCCTGGATTGAGAAACGGTTTTTTGACATGATCAAAACATTAGCTTTAAAACTATTAAAAAATTAATTAAAACTTTTAAGAAAGGTAAACAAGGCACTTAAAAATAAACTTTTTGAGCTTTTATGGTCGCCAAAATAATGATGACATTGTTGTAGCTAACCTTTTTAGCCAAAATCTTCTTTAATCAAAATAATCCAATATTAGTAACGCGATCCTGGCCCATGGTCAAATTAGAGGTTTTTACAATTTTTTGTTTTCTAAACGATTGTTCACTTCTAAACGATTGTTCACTCAGCAACTGACTTAGGAATAGTGTTGAAAATCCAAAAAATGATACAACTGTGTGGAAAAAAAAGCGTTTACGCTTCTTCTACAAGATTAGATCGAATATCTCGGAAATTGTTAAAACGGCAAACTTCTTAAATGAGAATCTTTTTGTTTACATCTCTCAGATAAAACCGTGCAAGTTCTCATACTTTATTTTAAACAGAAAAACTATCCAACCAGACAAATAAAAACATATGCCAACCATCCTTCTCGTCTCAAATATTTAATCAATGTGCTGGATCATGCAATCTAAATTAACATTAAAAACGTTCACTTTAAGTTCTTTTGTTCGGTTGAAGTGGAAATAGTCTGTGTTTGATGCCTCATCATAAAGGTACTTTAGCTTACGCTTTCCTTTAGTAGCAAGTTAAACTTCGAATCCTAGCAATTTGTAACCAAGTGTCCCTAATCCGTTTAAGATTTTAAAGTAGCTGTCCAATCAAATGTAGATCATTGTCAATGGTAATGGCTGCAGATTGTAGAAGACGACTAACAGCTACTCACTGGTCAAACATAGATTTTCACGACATGTTTAAGAGCTGCCAACATTTCTCTTGGCAAGTCGTTTAATCAAGTCGAAAAGAGTGCTCCATGTTCTCATAGAAAGTCTATGCAGTAAAATCCAAGTTGCTTCAGTGAGAATCTTCCATTGAAAAAATTTAAAAATAAGTACCAAGGTACGGCATTTTTAAAGAATACTTTGATCTCAATGACTGGTTCAGCTGCGTACACATCAGCCAAATTTAGATTGTGAGCGCTACCAGGCACGTACAGATCTTAATAAATTCGCAAAAAATTTTACCTTATTAAGGCTCGAGCTTCTTTGTAAGCACCTGTCATAATGGTCCCACTTTCGTGTCCCTGTCCCTGCCCACATTTTTGAACATTCATTCTCAGCCTTAAAACTACATTAGTGGTTAGTTTAGCTATATCAAATTCCTTCTTCATCTGAAAAGTTTCAACACACAAGTATCGTTCTTTGATTTTCTAGCAGTTAATTTCTCTTACAGAGAAAAAGAGGAGAAAACGAATAACAAAGAATTTCTGCTCAGTATGAGATACAATCGACTATGACTGAGAAGTAGATACCATTCTGGATTTATTTGAGAGCTGCACTTTGGCTGGATTGATGCTGCTTCACACGGTTTATTTAGCAGCCGTGGCGAAGTGGTTAGAGTTCTGGCTCAGAACCTAGAGGTCCAAGGTTCGACGCCGGCTCCAGCCCAATAAGCGACATTGGTAAGAAAGGAGGCGTGAACTTCTAGTTAAATGGTCTCCCGCGGTATTCCGTGATAAGACCGTAAGGACTTCTAGGAGCACCTAAATAACCTATAAAAAAAAAGTTTCCTACACTGATCCCTAGCTCCTCTGTTCTAAGGAAGAAGGGACAATTAACTATTTTTGAAAACTGCTTTTGTGCAAGGTTTTTTTTTTAAATAATTACATCTTGATCTTTTTGACTCAAAATAACTGGTCACAAAGAGGGATTAGCAGTAATTATTACCGAATCGGGTTAAACATCACATTCTCCCCAGTAAGATATAAAGTTTCTCGTTCTGGCTCTAATGATTAACTTTGAAATTCTTTAGCTTAGATTTAGGGAAATATTTTGAGCCCTCTACTGATCCACAGTTCTTCAAACCACACATATTGAGTGTAGTAAATTACACGTATTGAGTGGAGCAAAGATGCAAAAACTCAAATATTTGATAACTGATTGGGTGCTGGTAGTGGCAAAGTTGCTTATTTTTAAAAAAAATGCAAAGCTATGATTCTTTTACTTTAAAGTCAAGTAGTACCTAAAAGAGTAGCGCTTTTATCGTGAAATCGACATTAAAGTCTCGTGTGTTATTTTTTTTTTTGCAAGAAGTTGAAGCAAACCCAAGGAGCGCATAACCAAACGAAGTTTTCAGTTATATTAGTGTTGACTGCTTCAAAGCAATATTTGATCAGTTACCATTATAATTATCACATTGCATCATCTTCCAAACAATCAAGCATTAACTATGATTGCTAACTGTTTACAGGCTTACGGAATACGCCCGCTTCCGTCTAATTCTACTTCAATAAATTGTATTTTTTTCGTAAAAAATAGTTTATAAATAATTATAATAATAGAATTTAAATTTTAAATAATTTTTTTCATGAACATTTTTATTTCGAATACTAAAGCTTTAATCTCAAGTACAAAAACTAAGTAGATTTCAAATTGTCAGTCATTGAAATATTTTATATTTGTTGTACAAAAAAAAAATAATAAAAATAAATAAATAGCCAACGGCCAGGCGCCCTTTAAAGCTTGGCGCCCGGGTCAATTTTCCCCCTTTGCCCCTCCCTCTCGAAAGCCCTGTATATATATATTTAAACAATTTAAAATGTATTTTACAAAACAGAGTGCTCAATGTTCTTATAAGAACAGAGCTCAGCAAAATTTTTTTCATTTATCACTGTGTTTCATCAATAAAGACATATCAGTATAATGCTATATACAAGTGTAATGATCATTTGGACATATTCGGTTTATATTAATACTTTCTGTATTTTCAAAATTCTTTGAACGTGTAATTTATAGCAGTCCATGATCAATTTAAAATAAGCTTTTTTTTTACCACCTAATCAGTTTGGATTTCAAAAATACCTTATAACTGAGCATAAAATCATTAAAATAATGAATCAATGAACTTATGGTTTTAAGCAAAACCATCAGATATTTGATTGACTCTTTAGAAAAAGTTACTGGTCGTTATAAGAGTGTTTTTGCATGTTGAATCAAATCAAGGATAATTTAAAAACGTTTTATAAGGGCTTAAATAACAATTGAATTAAAAACAAAATATAGTTAATGTAAGTAACTATTATATTTGTCTAAAAATATATTTATAACAATAAAGTTATCCTTGAAGAAGTCTTTGAATGATTTTTTGACCAATTGCAATAACACCAAAAATTCCACCCTTTAAAGCATCAGCAACTCCTTGAGGATCGGCCGCAACAAAATCGTGAATGACTTGCCCAATAAATGGAATTCTTTGTAACAATCCAAGGTTAATAAGAAAATCCAATTTAGCTTTCAAAGCTTAAAAAACAGTAAATATAACATAGAATAACAAACTTAATTATCATCATTATTATTATTGTTGTTAATACTATATATATATATATATATATATATATATATATATATATATATATATATATATATATATATATATATATATATATATGTATGCATATATATACGTACATATATACATTTATATACATATAAATATTTAAAAATACCGTTTCTTAAAAATTCTTGAGTGGCCTCGTCAACATCATTTGCTTCAAGACTATCATTGCTTATTGATTCATCGTCTTTTATGCTATTGTAACTTGAACACAACTTAAATGAAAAACATCAATTTACGAATTATTTCTTTAACTAGCGTAATAAGTTACTATGTAATTTTGTTAACAAAAGTCAAACGGAGTTGAGTTTAATGTATTCAAAATAGTATAAGTATTTTATCAAGTAAAAAAATATTTTTTACCTCTTTACTAAAAAAAATCTCGCAATCATCCTGTTGAACAGGTGCAGAAAAAGTGCAACACAAAAGTGCAAGAGATGCAATAATAATGGCGATCTTCATCCTTTAACAAGAAAGAGAAATCATATCAAAAACTTTTAATAATTCCTGTGGAAAAAAAAAAATCATTTTTTTGCTTACTTGAAATCCGCTCAAAGCAAACAACAGCAAAGAACTCAAGTACAGTTATGCGTAAATTCTCCCCTTATATACTAAACGACAACAGTAAAATCTGGGTACTCTGTTTAAACATAAGATTTAAATTTTATTGATGAATTTAATTTATTATTTCAGGTTGATAATAATAATTGTAAAGGTTTACTAATGTCGATCAAATACAATGGTAAAGTGTTTTTATGGTGATCAAATACAGTTGCCATGCATTTTGAAACCAGTGCTGATCATATATACTCCTGTGATCATTACCGCCTTTGTTTTAAAATATGTTTTAATTTTAATTTTTATTGTTTTCATTGTTTTATTTGTTTTAAATCTTTTCTAAATGTTTGGGCAATTAAGCAAAGATTAGGGTATAAATATTTAAATATGTATCCATTATTTTCGTTTGCTTTTGATTTCAGGTTTATTCTGTTACAAAAATTATTAAATATATAATAAAAATAGCTAAAATTATAATGATAATTTACTGTTAAAAACATTTCTTTTTAAATCCATAATAACGCCGATATCCCTAAATTATGTTTTCTTTTTTTTTTTTTTTCTTTCAATTTTATAAAGTGAGAAATTGAAAAAGAAAAAAACTTTTTTTATTTGTAAATTTTTTCAACAATTATAAATTACGGTGTTTAACATCTAAGTTTGTTAAAAAATTATTAAAATATCGTGTGTCTTTTTAAATTTTAGATCTTCAAGCGAAATGCTTTTTTTTTTTTTTTACTGAAATATTAAATGGATTATTATTAGATCATTAATACTCATAGAAAAAAATTCATTATTTATAAAAATGATCTTCAAAACCTATTGATAGAATGATATATATACAAATACAAAATGAAAGGAAAAGAAAAGAAAAACTTTTATCGAAGGCAGCACGATTGGCCTTATTTACCCTGTTTGTCTTACGTACCCAATATGTCTGGTAACACTAAATACTTTGAAAAGTTAATATTTATTTTAAATACCTATTATTTCTGATTACGTATATTTATAATATTGATTATTTAAAAAACTCAGCCCTTTTTTTACATTTAACTAAGGGACAATCTATTGGCAATTTAAAAAAATCATTCTTTATAAATGAATATAAAAGAACAAAAATTCAGAAGTTTTTAGAAAGAAAAGTTAAGTATAAGCATAAGTTGTGTTTGTTTATGTAATAAATGTGTCTAACTACCTGACCGGACCCGTAAAAATACGGGTCTTACTCTATTTTACGCCAACCCTTTCTATACTTTTTCCTCATTTATATATTCTAACTCTCGAGAGACGTATATCAGGGCCTTTACCGAACCTACCATTTCCACATTTATCTATTCCACACATATTGATATAGCTATTCCTTATTTACTCCAATACTCCAATATTTTTAAGTAAAATAATTCATTCTGAATTCACTACGTAGAGCTTATAAATGATTTATAAATTGATGGGTTTTTTTTCTTAAACGCATTCATTGATAGTTCACTGGTTTAGTGTGCTGTCAACAGTGTCGTTTTCGTTGGTTTAAGGCCTCTTGTATATAATCATCATCATGTAACAAATGTTTTAAGTTATATAAGCTAGGATTTAGATTAAAATTGGTTTATGGAAAAATTGACAAGTCTTTTTATTCAAAAATTACTAACAAGATGTATAAGTAGCAGTGGCGAGAAGACTAATATGTCTTATCCCAAGCTCAATTTAAAAATAAGAAAGTTCGTTAAAGTGACTCACCACTAAATAAATCTTAATTTATCACAGTAATGAATCACTTTATCCTTGAGAGTGGTTTAAAAACCGCAATTTTAAAAACCGCAGTGTACTCATTTTTTAAAGATCAAAAACGCATTACTAATATGAAAAAAATCACTTTAAAAGAAAACAACAGAGAGTTGCAATTAAAAGCCATTAATAAGGATTTACAGTGCAAAGAAGAACTAGAAACTTATAAAACTCATCTGTTTGATATTTTTTTAGTTATAAAATGTTTATTGTTGTTTTTTAGTTTTTCACTATTTTGTGCAATTTGTAATTTTAAAAAAATCATAACATGTAAATGACTGGAGGTATTTACTTCAAATTTTTAGGGATTTTTTGTTCTGCAAATAATGATTGAGGGTCTCAAAAATGTCAGAAACAAAGTCATAAGTTATTAAAATTTTTCTGTTCCATTTCATTTGCTGACTTTTTATTTTTTTTAAATTGAAGGTCAGAAAATTTTTTTTTCTGAAAAAAATTAAGAACTTCACTTTTTATCTCGAGTTTCACTAATGATTTTGATTCAGGCTCTTCATTTTTTGCATAAAAACCGTTTTGCTAAATATGATGCTCTAGTTTATAATGGTTTTTAAGTTTTCATTTTTTAAAATTAGGTTCAAAACGACACATTTAACAACCTTTTTTTACAAGTTTTTGCAATTTTTGTTGCAAAATCTTTTTTTTCTCTATTTACTCATAATATACTCTAATATTTTATTTAATTAAAAATTATGATATTTGAGAAAGTTTTTTTTAAGTAGTGAGCCACCTTAACTATATAAAATAAACAAATGTAAAAGTGGTAAAATAATAAATAAAACATCACTTATTAAAAAATAGCAAGAAGCTATTAGATTAACAGATTAGTATCATCTGTAAACAAGATTGTGTCTAAGACATTACAAAATTTGTTTAAATCATTGATATATGTTACAAATAAGAACAATCCTAATATAGATTCCGCTAATATAGTTCCTTGTGGTTGTTAACAAGTAATATTCACATTGTTAGTTTTTTTTCAATTATAAGAAAATACTGCTGTCTATTTGACAGGTAGCTTTTAAACCAATTGAGGTTCGACTGTTTAATACCGTAATTTTTTAATTTGTTTAGTAAAATATAATGGTTTAACGTGTCAAAAGCTTTGCTAAGATCAATGAAAACGTCTAAAGTATATTTACTTTTATCAAAAGATTTACGAATATCATGAAAAAGATTTCATGAATATCATGAAAAACAAGATTTCACGAATATCATGAAAAACTATTACCTGATCAGTAGAGTGACTTTTTTTGAATCCAAGTTGTTTTTTATAAAGTGTGTTATTAACATCTAAGAAATAGTACAGTCTGATATGTTCTAATATTTTTGAAAAGCATGATACTATTGAAATGTCTGTAATTTGAGATAAAAGTTGCATCTCCCATGGCGGGTTTTGAAATGTAGGGGCACAATCGTCTATTTCTAAAAAAAGTCCATTATGTCTAGAATTTTCACTAAAACTAAAACAAACAAAAAAAAAAGTTCTTTAGCAAAAAAAGTGTGTGTAGGGGGGGAGGGGGAGGGGTGTAGTGCCCTACCCCTTCCCCTCCCCCACCTTCCTTGCGTTGTCGGCTCTGTCTCCAGATTTTAGAACTAATAATTCCTTTATAAATGTCTCAAAGATTATTACATACTATTTAATAAACCCTTGTAAAGTATATCAGTTATTATTGCCCCTACCTTAACGTTTTTTCTATATACTTTTTATTTGAAATTTAGTTTAAAAAGATTGCAGATTTTTTGCAGACATCTGAATTCCCTGAATATTACTTATTTTTCATTGAACTCTTTTTCATAAAAAAAGACTTTTTGCAACAAGAAAAAGTCTCAATAGGTGCAGAGAGGACTACCACAAGCCAAGAATGGTTTATGGTAAAAAAAAAAGATTACCTTTTGAAAAATATAACTTTTCAATCTGCCACACACCCTGAAAATTTGGGGCCTAATACCAACAAAACATCCCATTAAAGCCCTTTTAACCAATGATTCTAGATCAAGATTTGATTCTAGTCAATAGAAGCAAGTCTTGATAAAAATTAAAATAGTGGATTAAAAACCTAAGGATTTATTAGGGTTTGAAGTTTCAATCTTATAATTCAACTGAGGATCAAAGGGATTTAAATTTTTTTAAATTTTTACAAAATGCTTTTTGACAAGAAGCATATAATTTCATTTATTATTGAAAAGATATATGATTTAATCATGCTAATATTGTTATTGATGCCAAACTGTTGGCTTGCCACATCCCTAATTAAGAGCGCGTGCATTTACCAACAAAAAGCCGGGCAAAAGTTAAACTCTCAAAACGCCTACGTTTGCCAAACACCACAATGAGTGCAGAAGGTCTGTCTCCTTCATTTGCATGAAAAAAACAGACCGTGAGTTGACAGATTCCTTTAAACAGAACATCACAGAAATATTCTCCAGTTCCATTAATTATAACGATAACAAAGTTTCAAAGGGAGTTTGCTTAACTTATCATTTCAAGATTAACAAAGCCAGTGACAAAATTCGCCTTCCAACCTTCCTGCTCTTTGATTCGATTCAAATTAAAACTTTGACAAGACAGGCAAGTGCTTGTGATTGCTTGATTTGTCAAATTGAAAAAACCAAAGGAAAAGGAATGCATCCATTGATGAAATATTATCAAACCGAAGCCCAAAATCGCACAAATCCGTCAGCAGAAAAGAGATGTACAATTTGCTTATCCGAGTTTGCACGTGGACTACCTCATCGCTGTAGTCAAAGGAATCGAGATTTGAACTTAAGAACATTAACAATGGCAGATCCCAATGGGCCAGAGCAAATCGAATCATCAGTAATTTCATTAAAAGATACTTCACAGATGAGGAGACTTGGATCAGCTCTCAATCAAAAAAGCCTTATAAAGCTTGTGGAATCAAACTTTCAGCAAAAACTTGCAAAGGCTGGCAAACTATTGCAAGAGAATTTTACATTGAGCACTCTTCAACTGATTACGAATGAAAAATGTTACGTTGCTCATTGTCATGACGTTCATCAACTGAAGCAGGTTGTTGATAACTTCAGGTGGGTTGATCAGGACACGATTTCCAAACTTAGAATAGATGAACATGGCTCAGTTTTGAAAGTAAGTCTGATTCTTCTTGACATGAAACTCAATGAATCTGAGCCAAAAAGCCCCATTCAAATGTCTGTAAAGCTGTGTTCACAAGAAGGCCTCAAAAGCACAGGTATTAAAAAGCAGCTAATAGTAGCAGTAGCAGAAAATACACCAGAAACATATGAAAATGTAAAATCAGTTTTTGGCCTCCTCCAAAATTAAATACTGGAGAACTTAAGCCTCAATGACGCAATT